ATATCCTGCATGTGGAAAAACTGGCCCTCACTCAAAGGGTCTACATAGGAGATATCTTACTGCCCAAGCCAATGAGTGACGGTGGTTAAAGAATGAGAAGGGGTGCCAAAACCGGTTTGGCTCAGTGGATAGAGCGTCGGCCTGCGGACTGAAGGGTCCCAGGTTCGATTCCGGTCAAGGGCATGTACCTGGGTTGCGGGCACATCCCCAGTAGGAGATGTGCAGGAGGCAGCTGATCGATGTCTCTCTCTCATCGATGTTTCTAACTCTCTATCTCTCTCCCTTCCTCTCTGTAAAAAATCAATAAAATATATTAAAAAAAAAAAAAAAAGAATGAGAAGGGGAGCCTGGTCGGCGTGGCTCAGTGGTTGAGCATCGACCTATGAATCGGGAGGTCACGGTTCAATTCACTGTCAAGGCACTTGCCCTGGTTTCGGGCTTGATCCCTAGTGTGGGGCGTGCAGGAGGCAGCCGATCAATGATTCTCATCACTGATGTTTCTCTCTCTCTCTCCCTTCCCCTTCCTCTCTGAAATCAATAAAATATATTTAAAAAAGGAGAAGGGGCCGCAGCTCCAGGTGTGGGCAGAATCCAGCTTCTTGGCCACATGCGCCAAGATGCGGAATGGGGTTTTCCATGTTGTTCCAGGACCGTGGCTAAGACTCACAGCTGAGGACCAGAGAGACGCCAAGTGGCCGAGGGGTGGGGGTGAGAATGCCCACAGGACCCCTGGAGGAGGGGCACCCTGGCACCGCCTCCTGCTGAGTGGCAGCTTCTGGAGACCTAGAAGCCACGGGGCAGGCTCCGTAGCAGGGCAGGTAGGTCACCCCTTCTCGCCCTCCCACTTCAGACTTCCGTTCCCGGGGCCTCCCACTTCAGGCTTCCTGTAAGCCCGGGGGTGGGGTTACAGGAAGCCAGGACTGGTTTGCACAGCACTTCAGAAGTTTGTTCTTTCAGACAATTCCCAAGAATAAAGGGAGGATTGCTGGCCGAGAGAGAGCGAGCCGCCGTTCCCATGAGTCAGGGGCCCTTCTGACGGCGATGAGACAGGTTCTGCCAGGAGCCGCTGCCTCCATGCTGGGCGGCCTGGGACAGAGCCGGTCTCCCGTGGCTCCTGGCTGTGGGCTCTGTGTGCTTATTGCTTAACTGCCACCAGAGTGCTGTTTAAACACCTGTTTAAATAGGTGTTCTGATGCCTCCATAGCCTCCTCAGGGCCCCGGTTCTGTTTGCATTTCCCTGGAGTGTCAGTGTTAGATAAAAAAACAAATACAGGCCTCCCAAGCCATAAAGTAATATAACGTCTGAGAAAACACATCAGAAAACTCTTTGAACTGAGCAACCCGCAAAGCCACTCCAGTGGACAAGGGCCACATGCCCCCGAGTTTCCTAGTTGCAAAAACGCCCACAGAGGCCGCCTTGGAACAGCTGTTCCCGCAGGTGAGGGGGTCGCGGTCGGAGAGACAGATGTTGCACACCTGCCCGCGGCAGCAGCAGAATTCAGTTCTCATTTCTAAATACCATCACCCACCCAGGGAGGAGGGCAGACAGGAAGCACCCAGCAGGGCCCCCACCGCGGTCTTGCATTCTGCGCTTTCACTTCCCTGCCGGCCGCCAGTGCGGCCCCTCTGCCTCGCCCGCCTCCGGGGCTCCGGCGCCCGCTGCCTGTCAGCAGGTCCCTCTTCCTCTCAAATCTGCCAGAAATGGTTCCTCTTATCAGTGTGCGCGCTGACCTCTGACCCGGCCGCGTGTGAGTGGAGAACAGAAGCTGCAGTGCTCCTGGTAGCGCCCCTCGCTGGCGCCCACCGTGGGGCCTGCAGTATTGGTGAAAGGCGGCCATGAGCTCTCACCTGGCTTCCTGGTGCACGCAGGCGCATGCTCCTGACCCCATAAGAGACTGTGTTTGGTTTTATTTACTTTCGTTAACCCTCACCCGAGAATTTTCCCCCCATGGGTTTTTAGAGAGTGGAAGGGAGTGGGAGAGACAGAGAGAAACATCGATGTGAGAGACACATGGATTGGTGGCCTCCCGCACACACCGGGGCTGGGGATGGAGCCTGCGACTGAGGTACATGCATGCCCTTGACCGGAATCGAACCCGAGACCCTTCACTCCACGGGCCAACGCTCTAACGATTGAGCAAAATCAGCCGGGCTTCCTCATTCGTTTTTAATATGGTTTCTGTTTATATTGTGATGTCTATTTATATTAGGTGGGTGGGGCGGTCGTCAGAGACGGCAGGTGACTTATAGCATGTCTTCTAGGGGAGGGAGCTTGGCGCTTTGGGACCGGTCAAAGCGGTGTGGGTGTGGAGACCCATCGGCCTGGCCAGTCCTTCATCCAACAAGTCATCTCGCCAGAGGGGTCCACGCTCCAGGGACCCACCAGCCCTGGTGTGCAGCACCCAGTCCCCGCACTCCACACTCCACCGGGCTGTGTTCCCTCGGCATCCCAGGCACCTCCTGGGCCAGAGGCACTTCAGCTCCCGCCCCCGCCCCCACACTCGGCAGCCAGCGGCCAGCCTGAGGGGGCTTACGTGCCTCCCGTGACAGCCACCTGCATCCTGGATGAGGCGCTTAGCACTGCATGGCTCAGCTCTCTCTTCTATAAAATTCAAATCACCATCATCATCATCATCATCATGGTGGCTGCACTGATGTGTCACTCAGAGCCCCCTCTCCACTGTCCACCCCTACGCGGGAGGGAGAGGGCCTGCCCGGGGCAGCCAGCATCCAGTGACTGATGGACAAGCTGGTAAAAGGCCTGGTCCTCACACCCATGGGCTGACGGGCCCTCCCATCTTCAAAACTCCCCACAGCGGGGGCTTTCCCCTCCCCACGTGCGAGTCTGTGCTTCTTCAATAAATGTCCACCTTTGCTAAAAAAAAAAAAAAAAGAAAAGAACTCCCCATAGGGTCTGCTGCGGCCTCTAGGAGACTGGGTCACAGCCCACTGTCCCTGGGCCCGGTCCTGCCCCTCCGCTCCCGCCCACAGGTGCCAACCCCAGGGGCGCACTCTCGATGCCCATCTCCACTTCACAGTTGGTTTCCTGGGGACCCAACCTGCCCTTTTCTCATAAGAGCAGTCACAGAGGGCACAGCACACAATAACTTCCCTGTTAGCACAAGCCCAAGACGTGTCTTTTCTCTCTCAGTTTCAGATCCTTAAACATCCCCTCAGGCCCTGCTGGCGTGGCTCAGTGGGTGAGCGTCGACCTATGAAGGTCACGGTTCAATTCCTGGTCAAGAGCACATGCCCGGATTGCGGGCTCAATGCCCGGGGGGGGGGGGGTGGGGGGGGGGGCAGGAGGCAGCCAATCAGTGATTCTCATCACTGATGTTTCTATCTCTCTCTCCCTCTCCCGTCCTCTCTGAAATAAATAAAAATATTTTAAAAAACAACAAAAAAATCCTCTCAAAAGAGGCAACTGCCCTAGCCAGTTTGGCTCAGTGGATAGAGTGCCGGCCTGCGGACTGAAGGGTCCCAGGTTCGATTCCGGTCAAGGGCATGTACGTTGGTTGCGGGCACATCCCCAGTGGGGGGTGTGCAGGAGGCAGCTGATCGATGTTTCTCTCTCATCGATGTTTCTAATTCTCTATCCCTCTCCCTTCCTCTCTGTAAAAAATCGATAAAATATATTAAAAATAAAAAGAGGCATCCACAACATGTGCTGATGTTGCCATTTCCACTAGAATGCCACCAAACAAAAACAAAAGCAAAAATTATATAATCTTCCGTTTATTTAAGTGTGATTCACATACCAACCATACCACTCAACGATCTAAAGCCTTCGATGTCCGCCATGCTGTTAGCTGACAGCTCCACCGTGTCACACGACTTTCTCTTTGTGGTGAGCGTGGACATGTTTTCATTGCACTGGGTACTACCCAGGAGCAGAGCTGTTGAGTCGGAGGGCACGCCTTCGTCTCATGTTGGGAGGAACTGCCGCCGTTTCCCACAGCCCCTGCGCCATTCTAATGCCCACCAAGGGCGTGTGATGGCTGCCTCTTCCTCATACCCTCGCCAGCACCTGTTATTGCCTGTCCTTCTCATTGATTATGGCCATCCTCTCTCACTGGGGTCTTCATTTGCATTCCATCTGCATGTTGAACATCTTTTCATGTGCTTATTGGGCATCTGTATACCTTCTTTGCTGAAAGGATACTCAGATCCTTCGCTCGGTTTTAAACCGGGTTATCTTCAATAACTTCCTTTAAATCCGCACCCGAGGATATTTTTCCATTGATTTTTAGAGAGAGTGGGAGGGAGGGGGGCAGAGAGAGAAACATCCACTGGTTGCCTCCCACACTTGCTCCAACCCGGGTGGCGGTGGTGGTGGTGGGAGGGCTGGTTTGAGCCTGCAACCGAGGTCCATACCCTTGACCAGAATGGAATCTGGACCCTCCAGTCCGCAGGCTGACCCGCTGTCCGCGGAGCCAAACCAGCTAGGGCTTCAGTAACCTTTAGTCCTTTCTCCTGTCAAAGGGGAGTGAAGACCCAGAGGGAACACTGGCCAGGCACAGTGCCCGCGTGTGCCATGGCCCGGAGGAGCTGGAGCCCCTTCCTCTCGCCTTGCCGGGAGGTAAAGCCGAGGAGCCCGGCTCCCTGCATGTCTGAGAGGCACCATGTGCGGCTCCCACCGCTCACCACCCCACTTTCCATCTTGCGTGCTGTGCCCCCTCACTCCCCGCTCCTTTCATTGAACCTTTTCTTCCGGGAACGATTCAGCGGGTTCCCGTGCCCCAGGCTCCCTTTGCCAGCTGCCTCGTCTCCTGAAATTGAACTTGCAGAGTCACTGAGGCTGACGGCCAGAGAGCCAGACACCACCGCACACAGCGGAGCGAACGTGCTAAGCCCCTGAAGGCGCCAAGTGCCTGGCAGCCTGGAGCTCGGTAAGAAGTTACAGCGCTGAGAGGAGAGGAGCCAGGCTGCTGGGAGACCGACTGCAGATGGGCAGTTGTTGGGCAGATTGCAGTGACCTCTGGGCACCCGGTCTGCGGCACGGCCCCCTTTCATTTGTAGGCGACCTAGGCCATGGCCAGGCCCCCCAAATCCAGGTGGTGGCACCCCACTCCAGGGTGTGAAGCCTCCGGTGGGCCGGACTGGGGCGGCGGAACCGGGCGTGTGATCTCAGACTCGGAGGCGCTCAGGTCAACCCCGGCCGAGTGCCCAGGGCGGAGCGTGAACGGGCGAGCACAGGTGAGGGTGTGCCCCGTTTGCCTGGCACCGTCCTGTCAGCACCACACGCACGGCCCCTCGGGGCGGAAAAGGGTGCGTGCAGCTCCCCACCCAAAGGATTTGCTGGATTTTGCCTTGGGCGCGTGGGTAACGGGGAACTGGGAAACCAAGGTTGCACGGGGAGGCGTGGTGGCCCAGCTCCGCGACGGCGGCCGGAGGCCCCAGGCCCCGCTCTGCAACGGGCCCGGGGCGTGTGCTGGCGCGGGAGCTGGCGGGAGCCTGGGGCACGGGAACCCGCTGGGAGTCATCTTCGTACTGAGGGTCTGGCGCGGCGCTCGGGGAGGGAACTAGGATCCAGACCCAGGCCGGGCAGGTCGCCAGGTCGCACCTCGAGGCGGGAGGGGCCTCGGTGTGGGAACCGACTGGCGCAGAGGCGCCGCCAGCCCGGGCTGGGCCTCCAGAGGCAAACCCGGAAGCCCGGGCCCAGGCGCGTCAGCGAACAGCCGCCCGAAGGCCCCACACCCGTCAGCCTCTGCGGCAGAGGCGAGAGGCGGGGCTTGCGTGGACCCAAGAGCCACCCCGCGCTTCTCATTGGACAAAGGCCCTTGTCAATCCCTGAGGAAAGGCGACTGGACGAGACCGGACATCCGGGATCACCATCATTGAGTGAAGGGCGGGGTTTGGGGCGGAGGGAGCCAATGGGAAGGTGCAGTATCCAATGGCAATCAAGAGCTTCGCCTTCGCAGAGATTGGCAGGTGCTCGAACCACTGAGGTGCCGCGGAGGGATACCCGCCGTGGAAAGTAAGGTTCAAACCTCTGTGTTTTGTCCCGGTGCGGGCTTCCTCCGAGTGCGTAAAGTGAGCGATTAGTTAACGCGTAAATGAAGGGCCTTTCCTCAGTATCATGGTTTTCAACCAAGGCTGCGGAGTTTGGTAGGTGTTTCCTGGCATTGCCTTGGCCTCTGCACCCATTCGTGTCACGCCCCCTGCATATGCAGAACCGGGGCTGGGCGGCCGGCGCTGCGCTTCGAGCCACGGCCCAAATAATGGAAATGTGCGCTGTTAGGGGTATTAGAGCTAAAATGGATGGATGATGGTCAGTAGGAAGCAGGAAGAGACAGAAACGGACAGTTTGCAGGGGTCCTCAAACTATGGCCCGCGGGCCACATGCAAACACAAATATTGTATTTGTTCCCGTTTTGTTTTGTTTTTACTTCAAAATAAGATATGTGCAGTGTGCATAGGAATTTGTTCATAGCTTTTTTTTAAACTATAGTCCGGCCCTCCAAAGGTCTGAGGGACAGTGAACTGGCCCCCTGTTTAAAAAGTTTGAGGACCCCTGGTTTATGGGGTGGGGGGTGGGATGTAAGGAGCCCTTAAACACTTGAGTGGATGCTCAACCTCTTTCATTAGAAAAGTGCAAATTAAAACTTCACTGAGCTAACATCTTGACCTATCAGGTTGGTAAAAATCCAAAATTTGACCAGGTCCGTCGGGAAGGTCAGCGCAGAAACGCTGTCATGCGCTGCAAATTGGATGGGGTGGGGGGTGGGGAAGTGACACTTGACAAAGGAACCTGTGAATTTAGCTTTGACCGCCAGTCCATTCCCAGGAATCTGCCCTGAGACACTTCCACAGGGAGGTGCGCAGTGGTATTTGAATTAGCAAGAATGGCAGCGATACAAATGCCCACTAGTAGGCAAATGGCAGAATAGACGGCAGCCATCCGCACTATAGTATTGTTATTCAGCAGACTTTGCAGCATTAAAAAGAATGCGGAAGCCAGCGGCGTTCCCATGGGGTGATCTCCAGAGATCGTGCGTGTGGGCTGCTACTTTTAGCAAAAACAAGGGCTGAAAGGCCCAAACCAAAACGAATAAAAATGGTTTACTCATAAGGAGTAGAAGTGGTGGTGGAGAACCTGGTGGAAGACTCAGGAGCGGGAAATAGAGTAAAAATAAAGTGAGAGTGATGGTAATGGGGGAAGAAAACAAAAGACCACGACACAAAACAAAACAAGGGAAAGTGCTTAGCTTGGCCGTGGTTCTCCAGGGACCCAGGACTAAAGCCTGGCAGGACGGCGGGTGGGGGTGGGGGGGGGGGGGTGCCCAGGTTATCCGTCCTGGGGCCTTCTGTTAAGGGAGGCGAGGAGAAGAAAGGAAATGACTTTCCCTGCTTCACGTTCATGTAACCTCTCCTTCTACAGTGAGAAGTGGAGCCTGGACATGGATCCCAGGCAGTGAGGGTGGTGGTGCGTTCAGATGGCACCACCTCTCCCTCCTGCCCTTCAGTGTCTGGTGCCACAGGCTGCCTGTGGCCTGGGAGCACAGGAGGCCCCGTCTGTCTGGGCCCAGCCGTGCGTCCACTTGCCGTCTTCCAGGCCTGGACAGCTGCCCAGAAGGTAACTTTGTCAAACTGTGAGTACAGGGCCATCCTTTGGACAAGTGTATTTCTTATCATCAAATTGGGAAGAACAAAACACTGTCAAGTGATCTGTTCTTAGGAAAACTAGTTACATTTTCAGGTTTTAAAGCACTGGAAACAAGTACAAATTATCTAAAGGGTGGTGAGGGGGAGTGGAGGGGGCAGCTGGAGGGGAGCGGTGTGTGTGCAGCTCGCAGCAAGCTTGCCCTTGGCTGTAGGCAGCGCTTCAGGCTGCTCCGAGTGCACGTTTCCTTCAATGCAGCCGCTGGGAAAGGCAGCAACTTTAAGGGCAGGAAGCGAGGAGACACTTCATTCTGTCCGATGCTGGCAGGTACTAGAGACTTAGAGGGAAGGAGGAGGCCTGAAAAGTCTCCAGCGAAGAGAGTTTGGTGAACAGACACGGACTGTCTGTGGGCATGGTTTTAACCACGGCAGGTGTGTGATGGGTGATGAGCCACAGCTGTGTGTGTGAGCGCGTCCGGGAGCAGGGATCCAGAGTGGGCGGTGCCGGAGTAGGAGGAGGCCTGAAAAGTCTCCAGCGAAGAGAGTTTGGTGAACAGACACGGACTGTCTGTGGGCATGGTTTTAACCACGGCAGGTGTGTGATGGGTGACGAGCCACAGCTGTGTGTGTGAGCGCGTCCGGAGCAGGGATCCAGAGTGGGCGGTGCCGGAGTGAGGGGGCGGTGATGGGGTGAAGGGGGCGGTGCCGGAGTGAAAGGGGGCGCCAGGACCTCAGCGGCTCAGAGAGGCTGCTCTTGCTGGAGGAGACTGCGCCCTGGAAGTCTCTGAACCTCCAGACCTGGAGAGTTCCATTCTGCTGGCTCCTGGGCCCCGCCTGGCAGTGACACACTGGCGGTGGCCTGGCTTGTGGAAGTCACCCTCTGTTTTTTCTCCCTACCTTCTGCTGTTTTGTGACCCTAATGGGGTGAATTTGTCTTCCTCTCCACACTTGTGAACGAACGGGTGTTTCCTCTTGGTTGCAAATTGCAGGGTAGGATGCTATCTTATGGTTGTGTTAAAGTTTTTACCAGGAAACCTCTAAGAATGGGCTTGAATCAGCAGGTACGTTATTTGGAAGGTACTTTGATTTTCTTGACCTGTAGCAATACTGATATCTGGGGGGACATGGGGGTGTCAGTTTGAAATGGGTTTTAGCCAAGCTGATGTGGCGCAGTGGTTGAGCATTGACCCATGAGCCAGGAGGTCACCAGTTCAATTTTTGGTCGGGCACATGCCTAGGTTGCAGGCTCCATCCCCAGTAGATCAATGGTTTTCTCTCATCATTGATGTTTCTATCTCTCTCCCTCCCTCTCTGAAATCAATAAAAATATATTTTAAAAAAGAGATGGGTTTTGTTTTAAGAGGACTCTTCTGGCCACAAATGGACTGATGGTGTCCCAGTGAGGCAGCGAAAGACAGGGGGCAGGAGTGAGGAAAAGGAAGTACAGTGCCACCAGGGGCAGTGCCACCTGCAGTGCAGCCCCGGAGACCTGCCCGCTGTGTGCGTTCAGGGAATAGCGAGATAAAACCACATACGTGGGTCTTTGAGACCCCAGAAAGGGGACAAACAATTCTCAAATAATGAAATTTTTAAAAGTTTTGCAAAAAAGATAAAAATAATTTTTAAGAGTAAAAAGCACTGACGTGTGGGTATAACCACGGACCAGAGAGCAGCCCGTCTGCCATGCCGACTGTCAGCAAAGAAGCCGAAGGGATTCCAGCAGCAGGTGGAGGAGGCCGAGAGCGGGTCTAGCGATGGGAGAGGAGAGGAGGTGCCTGTCCCAGCGTTGCTGACTTCAGGGCCTCAAAATGCCCCGGCCTCTTTTAATTCTGTGTGTTGATTTCATTTTATTCTAGCAAATAAAAAATATAAGAACATCATGGCCTCTTCCTAACTCACTTGGCTCTGAAATGTTCCGCCGGCGGGGAGATCAGACACAGCCTGCACCCACAGAAACATGGCTCTCGTGAGGGGCCCCCGACTGTTCTGAGGTCTTACTATGTTTTAGCATTTTCTCGACTGCTGCCTGGGGAGGTCCCTCCCCGGTGCCGTGCCTGTCTTCTCTGAAGCACTTTCACCTCCCTGAAGGCAGGCGCGTGCCCAGGGTTTGTGTCTTCTGTCTGTTGTGTCTGGCATAGTTCTGGGTGCTTTTAAGGTGCTTAGTTATACGTAAAGTCAGCCTCATGCTTACGGGAGGGAAATGCTGGGAGGGCCTTAACCCTGAGACCGATGCTTTGTTCCAGGACGGACGGTGGGGTTGAATTAGCCACTCTGCTGAAAGAGTGCTCCCCCACTGCTTGCTTCCCTACAGTCACAGAAGCTTCCAGAAGTCCTTCTAAGGCAGGGTAAGAGTATAGTGTTACCAGACTGGACATGCAGGCCGCAGACCCTGATACACATCTTCCCCCGGCACCAGGGATCCTTCCACATGTGTGCTGGGGGCTGAGCCTTCAGGTCAACCCTCCAGGGCCACCCCTGCCCTGGGGCTGCGTGGAGGGTTCAGTCAGGAGAGGAAGACAGTCTGGGAGAGTTACCTGTGTAACAGCTGGAGCCTCTGGAACCTGAAGGGTTACCCATGGAACAGCTGGGACCCGGGAGGGTTACCTATGGAACAGCGGGGGCCTGGGAGGGTTACCTATGGAACAGCTGGGGCCCAGGAGGGTTCTCTATGGAACAGCTGGAACAGCTGGGAGGGTTACCTATGGAACAGCGGGGGCCTGGGAGGGTTTTCTATGGAACGGGCCTGGGAGGGTTACCTATGGAACAGCTGGGGCCTCACCCATGGGCAGAAGCCAGAGGAGCCGGGCCTTTCTCCCCTGAACACCACAGTCCTGATTCCTGTAACATAACACAGAGGCTGCGAGGACTGAGCAGATCTGTACGTGATGAACCTCTCCGTCTGTGGTTAGAAGATCGAGGGACGCCTACAAAGTCGACGTGACAAGGGCTGGGGTCGGGTCAGGCAGCGTCACAGCACAGTGTCCCCGGGCGGAGGGGGCAGCCTACATGTCGTAGAGCCGGAGCTGCTCCTGCACGTCGCCGTGGGACATCTCGCCAAACGTCTCCTTGTTGTCCTCTATGAGCTTGAAGATGGCCGCCAGCTGCTCTTTCTGAACTCTGCCGGGAGGAAGGACACAGGCGGGACAGCAGTGAGCCTAGGGGGCAGGGGAGCCCTCTGGGGGCAGGTAGTGCTTCGCGAACGTCCAGAACAGCAGAAAACTCACCTCCAACCAACCCCCTCAGAACACAGGGTGGTGTGGTCTAGACTAGAGGACTCAGCTAGAGGTTCTAAACACGACCTGAGTCTTGGGTCTACCCTGGAGATTGGGGACCCCCAAGTATGGCTCGGGTTCTGGTGCTTGATTCCCCCGGAACCACCTTTTGCTCCTGACCACACATCTCAGTGAGGCGAGGAGGAGGAAGGTGGGTCCCACGAAGGGCTGGAGGTTCTGTGCGGAGATGTGGTAGCAGCAGCCTTCGTGTAGAGGAGCCAGAAGCGAAGAGAAAGCACATTGTGGGCTGGGGAAAGGGGGAGCGTACAGATGTGCATGGCCAAGGGCGAGGGCTGGGGGCGGGGTCCCGCTGCTCAGAGGAAGGGGCGCCTCTCTCTGATTTGCATAGACACCTTATGGCCTGCGGGTCCCTGTCCCTCAGATGTGGCTGGAGATGGGCTTTGTTTATGACACTCAGGCTGCTCTCTTTACGAGGCTCAGCCACGCTCTCTGCCCAGCGCAGCTGCAGACATGAAAGGGTGTGAAACTGCAGCGAAACCCAGGGAACAGTTTGGTTGTTTGTTCTGCCTGGTTTGCTGTGCTGTTGGCATGACTGGGTGCTGTGTGCTGGCACCGGCTCGCTGCTCTGGCTTCGGGCCTCTGTAATTCGTCCCTCCACACCACACCACCAGCTTGGTGTTGGTCCCCTTGAGAATGTCAGCCAAGTGTCAGGGTGGGACCGCAGCACCTCCCTGCAGCCAGGCTGCTGTCGTCACTGTGGGTCCAGCTGGGCACGGCTTGGGTACAGCCTCCGGCACCGTGGCCTGCAGACGCAGCACCGCCTGCAGGGCCGGCACCCCGTGCTGCTGGGCAGGGGTGCGATGGCTTGCCTTACACTTGTCCCAACACATCCCTTCTGCAAGGACCATGTCTCCCCACCCAGCAGTCTGACTGGAGTACTGCAGTCCCCAGTGCCAGCCTCTGTGCCACCCGGGGAAAGTAATTTCCAGTGTTTCCTGTGGAGGAGAGGGAGCCTCTGCCAGGGGCCCTGCACCTGCCGCCTGAAGAAAGGGCAGCACTGGGCATTGGAAGGGTGTGTATTGAGCTCCTTGGATGGACTCATCAGATGTACGTGTGGGCACCCCCACCAGTGAACGCAAACGCGCCTGTGTTTCGAGGGCCGTGACACGTGCATCCTGTTAACAGGGTGAGCGCCAGGCATCAACATGAGAGAAAGCTCAAGTTTTAAGGGGTTCAGAGGAGATTATCTTTTGAAACAAGCAAAACTGAAAAAACACACCGTAATCAAGATCATGTGCTCCGCGTTTATTGGGCTGAACAGAGGCTGAAACGCAGGTCCACGCCGTCAGCCGGGCGCGAGGCCTGGTGCCCACGTTCGGAGTTTGCAGACAGACTGAGGTAACTGACCTGGAGGGAGTCGCCGGCTTATTGTACCAGCAGCTCCCAGCCTGGACAAGGACACTGCTATGGCTGTGTGGGCCACGTGTGCCCACAAGAGGACATCTGTCGTCCTGTGGTTCTGTGTGGCTGTGGTCGCTGCCTGCTCTGCCCTCGGCCCTGAACCTAGAGCATCAGGCCCGAGCAGAAGGGCCCTGGGAACGGGACATGCCCGGGGGCCGACACTGGACATTTCTTTCCCAGCCTTCCATTCAATGGAAACGGTTTTCCTATTAACTTATTGCTTTAAAAAAATGTTTTAACCTACACATCTTAAGACTGTAGACTAGTTTGGCCTGGAATAAATACTGTCACATGTAAAACTCCAGGAAACCAATCTGGGACCAACCTGATTACCGGGTGAAGCTCTAAGCCGGGGTCCTCAAACTGCGGCCCGCGGGCCACATGCTGCCCGCAGAAAACATTTATCCGGCGGCCGGGTGTTTTTGCCGCTGCTGCCTGTTGCTTAGCAGCCGACTAGTTTTTTTTTTAAACTATAGTCCGGCCCTCCAACGGTCTGAGGGACAGTGAACCGGCCCCTGTTTAAAAAGTTTGAGGACCCCTGCACTAACGCATCTCGGAAACTTTCTAGGAAAAGGCAGAATCGAGGAGAAATATTTGAAGCGAACACTTATCACTGCTTCAGCCAAAGCAAAGGGGCGCTGCGGCTGAGCTGGTAAGAACATCAGTGAGAAGGCCTCGAGCAACAAGGGGGCTGGTGGAAGCCTCGGAGGGAACAAGGGGGACGGGAAGCCAACAGCCAGCCCTTGCTTTGCTGCCTGGTCATCCATACAGCGTCTGTCACCCCCAGCGACTGCGCCAGACAGAGCAAGAGGGAAGTGGCCCCAAGGCAGAGGGCAGCGGGCCATCCCCACCCTGCAGGGAGCAGGGCAGCTCGCCCTGTTCGTCCTCGGTCACACCTGAGAGGCCTCGGTGCGGGAGGAAGCAGGAGGCCTGCAGGGAAACGACAGGTTGTGCAGGGACGGCCTGTGACCGTCTCAGGGGTGCAGGTGTGTGGGGCAGGCAGGGCTGAGCGAAAAGCGAAATCAATGTTTAGGGAGTGAGAACAACTCCTGAGCCCCTTAGCGTCACAAAGCCAGCCACCCAAGCCCGGAGGAGGCCTCACACCCAGAGCAAAGGCGGCCCAGGGTCCGCCGCCCCGGGGAGGCCCGCTGAGGGTCTGGTCCCCGCGGGGCAGGCAAGATGCACTGGGAGCCACGGCTGCTCTCTGGGGTCATTTTCTCTCTCCAGCTTTTAAGCTGCCATAGGAAAAGCCTTTAGGAGGGCGCTAAGGGCAGCGTCATTCTTCGGTTCTGTGAAGAGAAACGGAGAGAAGATCATTGATGTCACCCATTGCATCGTACGAGTGAATACCGTGGAGAGGAGGGGAGCGGGGTGAGGAAGGATGTTTGGAATTGCAGAGGCCGCTGGACGCTGGCTTCTCAGACACGGGAGGGCAGTTCACCTCTCCGCACCTTCAGCAAGACAGTCTGTTCCCAGCCGGCGGGACCCCGCACAGAGCCCAACAGCCCGCCGGCCCCCTAGCGAGTCTGCGAGGCATTTGGTAATTGAGGGAGGGAGGCAGGCCGGGCACCCTGCACTTTCGATCGCCGCCTGGGGCTGCATGGGATGTCCTGGGATGCTGGACTGCTTCCTAGTCCCGCCGGCTGGGTGCTGTCCCCTCTGGGGACACTGGCAGCTTAGGACTCCTGCTCCCCCAGCTGAGGCCAACAGTGCCCCCCTTTTCTAAATGACACAGGGACAGACACTGGGGGAAGGCGGGGATCTGATTTTTGTCCTCTGGCGCCCTCTTCAGGTCAGAGTCTGCAGTTTCTAGAAATTCACACCCACGGGCAGGTCAGGCAGCAGAGACTAGAATATCCCACAGCTGCCCCCTCCGCCCCCCCCGCCGGCCATTGTGCTGCAAACTCTTCCACTGGAGTCGCGTCCATTCCAGCGCCATCCTGCGGACCTTCGGAATGGAGCGGCGCTGGGTCCCGGTCCTCGGCCATCAGCCAGCCTGGCCTACAGCCCAGCCCACTTTTCCTCTGGCAGAGATGGGAA